TAGTATACTTGCACTTAATAATGTACATTTTTGCAAATACCCCAGCAACAGTTACCTTAATGTGATTTTCTTTACAGCTTTTGGAAACCAAAGTCAAAATTTTTGCTCTTACAGCTAATAACATGTTTGATGCTTAGTTATATGCAAAGAATCCAGGATAATGCATGTATATATTAATATGCACGAATAAAGGCAGAGCTCAAAAACAGCAAAAAAGTAGGTTAACCAAAACAAACAAAAAATTCAGATGTTAATTACTGTAAAATGAAGTATTTTTCATACAAATGGTATTAGTTTCTTGTCCTCTCTGCCCTGTCTGATCTCTCCATCATTTGCATCATCATGAATAGTTTTCCATTTTTAACTTGGTTTCAACATGTTTTTACTCTTTTCTGTGTACTTGGGCTCTGTTCTACCTTAAACCTAAACTTTCTCTGATGTGTTTATTCCCTTCAGCACTGCCTTTTTTTTTTTTCATCTCTCTATTGCCTTCATTGATAAAATGCAAATGTTAACCCTAGTAAATCACCAAACTCCCAAATTATAAAAACCAATATCTTTCCTACTTTCTTCATGAATTTTTTGTGAGAATTAAGTGTTAAAAATGAGTATATCTTGTAATGTAAAATATAGTTGTAAGCTTCTAGAAAGAGCTGAACTACTAACAGATATCAATAACTATTTTAAAAGCCCCACAGCTTAATTTACTAGATTTTCTTTTTTTTGCCTCTTCAGAATCAAAGAAATTCAATACACATTTTCTGAAAATCCATTTACATACATAACTAATCACTCTTCCGGCTGTTCTTCTGTGCAACCTGCACATTTTGCTATGGTGGAATTATCAGTCATTTTTTAGAGAGGAACAAACTGAGACACAGAAATGTTTCATAACAAAACAGTCCTCACACAGCAAGTAAGGGATGAAGCCAAGATTTACACCAAGGGAATATAAATATGGAGCTCATGCTTTTTTCCATTAAGATATAGGAAAACTGAAAATATTTTAAATAAAAAAAGATAAGTTGACTTAATAAAGCAATTTAATTAATTCACATCTCACCAACATGAAATCAAGAACTATGAAATTTTACATACCAGAGAATGAGTAGAAATATCTCCTTTGGGCTAAGTGAACTTTCCTAGTTCATAGGTCATCAAGTCCAATGGCTTTCTGTTAGACGGTGATTTGGGCTCATAACCATCTCAGCACAATGTTCCATCTAGTTCTGGCCATTAGGTTGGAATGGCTTTCAAGATGAGGTCGAGTTGTCACTTCTTAATCAAACTCTAAAACATGAATGTCCAGAGAAGTAGACTAAAGTTCTAAAATTAGAAGAGTTAAACCAAAATGTTGTAAAGTCCTTATGTGTGGAAGAGGAGGAAAAAGCTTGAGTATATACAAGATGGGCTTCTGTTAATATAATTAATACAAAAACTTTTAGGGAAAAGTTCACACATAGTAAGTTGCAATTTCTACCACTCACTTTTTAAAGATATATGTTAAAAACAAACTAATAACAAAAATGAGGAATTAATTCAAATAGTATTTCTCAGTATTTGCTATATCTAGCATTATCATAGAAAATTCAGGTGAAGGAAATAAACCTCATGCTATCGACATTGGGTTGGCTTAGATGGTCAGTATGAGGCTGTACACAAAATAGAGACTTTGAGTTCCAGCTGCCCTAGGTTTCATTCCATCTTTGTCACTGTGGGATTTTAAATTAGATAATGCTCTTCTTTAAAAAAAAAAAACAAAAACGAAGAAACAGGGTCTTACTCTATTGCACAGGTTAGAGCACAGTGGCGTCATCATAGCTCACTGCAGCGTCAACTTCCTGGGCTCAAGCAATCCTCCCATCTCACCCTCTGGAGTAGCTGGGACTACTGGCATATGCCACTGCACCCAGCTTAAATTAGATAACATTCTGATATTTATCTTTATTATCAATAGAGCTAAGGGAATATTACCTACACCTTGTGTTTTACTGTGTATTCGGTGAGATTATATAAATTAGAAAATGCATTGTATTATTAAGTTTTAAATTTTAATCCAGTAAATATTTGAGTTACCTACTACCATGAACAGATACTGTGTGGGGATACAGCAACAAGTATCACAGAAATATTCCCCATTAAGTGACAGTACCAGTTTTAAACAAGTAATCTCAAGCATAAGATGGTAGTATACACATTAGAGGTAATACAGAGTCATGACACTGGCATCATTGGTGCTCCTGGGTGAAAAGAGCTATCTGGTCATGAAAATTGGTGTATTTCCCATCCAAGGATCATGTGCCTTCATGAATTCCCCATTGGATGAATGACCTATAGACGTAGCAGAGATTAAGGTAATACTTTCAGTATGCTTCTGCCTTTTGCCAGGATTCCTGTGGAGATAACATTGTGTTTTCTAATATTATTTATAAATTTGATTTGAATCTTACATTTATGGAGGCTCAAACTTTAATTAACTAAATAAGTAGTCATTGAACTTACTATATGCAAAACCCTGACCTAGCTCCTGTGGAAATGTAATGATTAATAACACTCAAATTTCTTCCTTTATCTTTATCTCATCATTGGAAAGTTGACTTGTTTCCACGTGTTCCCAAACAACCATTGATGAACTTAAGCCAAGGTACATTTAACTGATGCTGTAAAGAAGTGCTATGCAGTTTTAAAAAAGATGAAGACTATCTCTATATACATTCAGGGAATGATTTTCAGGATACGCTGTTAAGGAAAAACATAAAGTAGAGAAAAATGTGTATTGCATGCTTTTATTCATCTAATAATGAGGTAAATGCAAAATATGTGTATATGCATGCACATTTATTTATGTTAAAAAGTAAATTTACTTATGCTAAAAAGTTTTTAAAAAGCTCTTTTTAAAGAGATTGTATGGGCTCTGCTATTTTCTTTAAAAATTTAACTTTAGAACAATGTAAAACATTTCACTTAATGGTAAAACAAAATTGAATTTAAAAAGCCTTTTCGTAAAAGTAGACATAAAAAGTAACCAAAAAGAGTGCTTAAATGAACAATAATTTGGTGTCGTAACTACACGGGAAGTATCTGAAATGACTTTTACAAGTAGTCATGTAATCATAGATTCCTAAAGACGTAACTTGAGAAAAAAAAGAACTGCCTCGAAAGTATGTTATAGAATGTTATTAATTTCTGGGAATTATGTCTCAGATAGTAATGCCAGTATTTTTCTTTTGGGGGAGTTTGGTCATAATTGGCTTCTGTTGGAAGCTTCTCTCCCCTTAAAAGCTTAATTGATATATAATACACATGTAATAAACTGCACACATTTAAAGCATATAATTTGATACATTTGATACTTGTTTATACTCATGAAACTGTCATAACAATCAGGAAAATAAGCATATTCATAACCCCACAAATTTTTTCCTGACCCTTTATAATCTCTCTGGCTCCCACCTCTCCATAATTCCCCGTCATGACCAAGTAAATATTGATCTGCTTTTTATCATGTTTTATGTTCTACATTTTATAGGGAGAGCGATGTCTAGCTTTCTTTATTCAGGTTATCATTATTGTGAGAGTCATGCATATTTCTGTACATATCAAGGGGTCATTCACTTTTATTGCTGAGTAGTATTCCATGGTATGGTGATATCACAATTTATTTATTGATTCACTTGTTGATCAACACTGGAGTTGATTCCAGGTTTTGACTACTACAAATAAAGCTGCTATGAAAATGTATGTGTAAGTCATTGTGTAATCACAAACTTTCATTTTTCTTTGGTAAATACTAGGAGTGGAAGGACTGAGTCACATGGGAGCCATATATTTAACTTTTTAAGAAAATGGCAGCTTATTTTCTAAAGCAGTTAGACATTTCACATTCCTAGCAGCAGTATGAAGACATTCATTCCCTCCACATCCTCGTCAGCACTTGGCATTTTCAACCTTTAATTTCTGCCATTCTAATAGGTGCTGAGGGAATCTTACTGTGGTTTAGTTAGCATTTCCTTAATGACTAACTCCTTTGGAAAATCTCAATGTCTTTTTTTGCTTTTGCCAGGTAAGCATTCTTAAACTATATTGAACTCTTAAATGAAATGATTAACTAACTCTTTTAATATGCCATGTACATTCTTAATACAGTTAGTATGGTTTGAAACAAAAGTATAATCACAGAAAATTCTAGTTGCATTCCATTTGCAAGACTGTTTTTCCAAGTGCAGTTACCATAGAGTACTTCTCTAGAGATCTGAGATATAAAAAATGTCTGATCCTGTTGGTAGTGGTGAGTCCCCTCGTTTTTACTTACCTTGCCTGTTTTCTACTAGGAACATTGCAGATGCCCTGGAGTTTTCTTTTTCTTTAAGAAGAAATAAGACTTTCCCCTCCATACTATTTTATCAACTAAATCTAGCTAGCACAAGGATATGATTAAAAAAAAATTTAAGTAGTGATATAAAATAGGTAATGAAATATATTAAAATGAAAAATAAGGTCAAAAAGGAGAAAAATGAAAGAATAAATAAAGAATAATGACTGAGAATAGTAGGAAGGAGAGTAAATGAAATATGGAAAAGGGAATAAAATGTAGAAAAAAGAAAAAAAAAAAAAAAAGGTGTGGGAATGAGTTTCCTTAAAAATCTGGCAGACCCGGTCGTTAAGGCCCCTTTGAGGAGACTGGTGGTATGGTGGAAGGGTGGGGTATATGGAGAAATTGTTTTGCTTAGTATCTACCCATGCATGCTTGAATCAATTGTCTAAGTTCCTTGAGCCTCAGGTATTGCATCTGTATAACAGAGATAACAATATTTGCCCCAGATAATTGTTATAAGAATTAAACAAAAATTTTTTTTTAAAAGGTGTATAAACGATCTTCACATTGTCACTAATGGCCCCTAATCTGTACCAGGAGATCAACAAGGGAAACTCTGAAAACTCAGATAGCAATAAGAAGTCTTACTACAGAGTCCATTGGCAGTTGAAAGTCTGAGTTGAAATGAGTTGGGCAAAAGCAGCAATTTATTCATGTCTTACAAACATAGTCTTACAAACATCACACAAAGCTGGCACAAAAGAACAGACACCGCCTCGTACACCATGCTTCCTTCCAAATCACTTCTATTGAGTTACAACATCAGAACAAGCCAGTTACTGAGTTACACAGTTCTTCAAACACAGAGGCCTCCCCATTAGGAAGGCGAGATTGGCTATTCAGACAAACAATTAATTTACATGTTTAATACAGTGCAGGATTTGTAACAGAATTCAAGATATTCACATTGATATTGTAATGCATTATAAAACAGTACAATTTTCAGAAATAACGAGATCACGTCTCCCTGCCTGTTTCAATTTATTTCTTTTTTTTCTTCTTTCTTTTCTTAAAACCAGTTGCAGATAGGTTTACTCAACTTTTCACACTCAAAAACACATTTTAAAAACTAAAAACTATTTACAAATTATCCACTGTAATTTTAAAAGTGTTTGTTGTTGGTTTTGTTGTTCTACATTTTAAAAACCCACCCTCTTCCAACAACTATACGTTAGCTGGCACCATCATGAACTTCTGGCTACTGTGAAGGATATTTAAAATTGGCTCATTACAACTTTTCAGAGCTCCAAAATATATTATATTTCATGGCCTGTGATACCAAACACACATCCATATAAAGGCCGTTTGACTTCCCCAAACTACACACTGACTACAGTTCACTTCATGATGCTTTCACAGAAATGCTGAGTGGACCAAAATGCTATGAGGTGACTTTGTAGTGGAATGAAGACAAAGATTGGGGAATATACTTTTTTTAATCCCAAAGTCATAATAAAGCACAAAAAAGAGGTTGGTTTTCAATCTTTGTACATACAGAATGTAATACTTTTTCTTTATATTCGGCATAGTCATAAAAAGCATGTATAAGTTGTTTGGAAAATGTATTTTTTTCATAGAATTTACAAACACTGTGATATCAAACACATTCTCAAAAACTGCTAAAGTACCAACACAAAACCTGACTCAGAATGTAAAATTTTCAGTAGACTTAATTTCTAACTTGCATATTTAATGATTCAACTGTACCCGAGTTTCACTCATACTTCTCTAAAAACTCAAATATAGTGACATCACCCTTGAGTAATTATTTCTAAATAATTACAAGGTGCCTCTTTACTCTAACAGGTTTTAAATGACTCTCAGTACTCTGGTGCTGGAAAATGTACAAGACACAAGGCTGTAAACTGTTCTGCAGACAACAGCTCAAGACAAATTAGCCTAGAAAAGACAGTGAAACACATTCTTTGTTGTGCTAATTTGACAGCTCAAGTGTATTTTGTGCGAACCTATGTAAATTATATTAGACTTGCTCTTTTACTATTTTTTAGTTTTATTAGTTTGTCTATTGGATAAGTAGCATTTTCTATCTGGCAAGGTATAAAACTTTACAGTCTTTTCCTTTTCTTTTCAAATAGTAACTTTGTCTTTTCTGGGGAGAATAAATTAAATGAAGACTTAGGTGGCCAAGCCCACTCTGGGTACAAAGGATGGCCTTAAAGTACGCTAGCACACTGTACACATTTCCTACAAGAAAACTGCACTTCTAACTGGAGTTCTAACCGTAGTTTATTTCTTTAATAACTAGCTAATATGACGACTTCACAAAGGTAAATAGGAGTGTCTTAGGCCACACTGAGGCTTGTGACAGGCAGTGAAAAATTCAAGGCCATGGTTCTTATGTGAGTTTATATTTTACAACATTTTGACTCACATGTAACCTTAGGGGGGAGAAAACTCATATTTCAGCCACAGTGTTCTCAACTCAGCCCTTAGAGAAAATAATTTTTCAGCTTGTTCACTGTTCTTTTGAAATGAATCGAAGTTACTACTCATAATAAAATTGTATCAAATAATTACAAACCAAACTGTAATGACCAGATACTTTTATATGCAGGACAACCATTTGCACATGACGTCATTAATAAAAACAAACTAGAGGACATTTCTTTAATATCTTTGGATTTAAAGAAAAATTGATTTCCCCAGCCTGAAGAACAATGGATAAATTTTCACAAGACAAGGCGTGCTTCTCATTTTTAAGTCTTAACAATCCCCATGTGATCTTTTTGTGACATGTTCCAATGAGATTGTCACATTCATAATTTGGGATTCAGGCACAGGACTCATAAAATGCTTGACCATTCCTGTTTATATCACTGGTAGCCTATAGGAGACATTTAATATCTTATAAAAATTTATCCAACTCCTCTAATAAATGGGGAAATTATCATGATGCACATTTATAGATACTTTCTGGTCTACTAATTCAATCCATTTCTAACAAAAAATGATAGCTTGCTGTCACAAGCTTGCAATCCAGTATCGAAAGAAAAAAAAATTGCTCCTTGCCTAGTAAAAATCTTTAAGTTCCAACTCATGGCTAGGATGCTAACCATCACAGAGCATATGCCACTTGGCGATCTGTCTCCTGGGGTAGTCACAAATCTCTTTCCAATGCTCGCCACCGGTTCCTTCGGCTGCTGAACCCAGAACCAATCGCCCGATCACCTCATTTTGGGACCCCCTTTCAGAATCCAAAACCAGAAATTCAACACTAATTTCTTCAAGACCCTCACAAGGAATATCAAAGACAAACAACTCATTGAACACTGCATTGGGGGTGCATTTCTTCACATGGGTCTTCTTCTTGGAGATTCTCTTTTTGGCATGGTACAGATTCACTTTGACGTAGGGATCTGCAATGATACACAACAGACATTATAAGAAAAGAATGAGGCTGGAGAGGGGATCTCAGGATAATGGTGGTCCTGAGAGCATGGCATGCCAACAAAGTGTTATGATGAAAATGAGTTGGGGTGAAGGGAAAATATGGATACAACTCAATTTTTCTCTTGTCAACAACATTGAAAATAAGGATGAAATGCAACAGATAAGAAAGCAGAGAGTAAGGAAGGCATTTCAATGGCAGAAAAAGGAGATAACATAAAAGTGAAGAGAAGAGAACATTCTGATTACTAGTAACTCAGTCCTGGAAATGGGATATAGAAGGAAATAAGTATTAGACATCACCTGACCTTACTGAGTTACATGGTAACTCTCTCTTTGACTTTGGTTTGATTTCCTGTTGAATAGGAATTCAGAATTGGCAATGCTTGCTTGGTTTCAACATTTTTGTATTTTTTAATTTTTAATCACTTGCTATACTTGCTTTCTGTTTTCTACTGCTAACTCTCTCTGTGTCACCCTCAATGTGTGAATTTTAAGATCATACTAATTTATCACAATTATTTTTACCTCTTTCTGTTTGCAGTATATGAGTTAACTTTAGCATCCTAATTTAACCTTTAAGACCATGTTTTCAACTCCCATAATCCAATAATAATATAAGAACAAACGCCCTTGATTATATCTAAGAAAGTATATGTGTCTACTTCCCACAATGCCTATGAAGATAAGTATTATTTGACCAGTTTGTACAGAGTTTAATGTTATGCTAAGAAACAGAAAGGTCAGGATTTGAACTCAGATCACCGTAACACATAGCTCATGTTCTTTCTTAACATGCTGTACAATAAGAATTTGTTCTGTTTCAATTTTTGTAAAATTAGGCACAAATTAAAAGCTAATTCTTAAAGGAGGTGCATAACAAACAGAGAAAAGAGAATTAAAAGCCATAGAATAGTAAGGGTAAGTGGGCTCATTTAAAATAAAACAAAGTTTAAATTTAAAACTTTTCTCCAAAGTCTAGTTTTATTTCCATCTCTGTGATTTTGGCAAAGGCCTGTCACCTTTGCGTTTACCACTCCCTTCTGCCAAAACCCTAACAAATTAGATATATATTACGTACTAGCTTTGTCTGAGACCTAAGACAACTGTAGATCTCTTCTTCTTGCTGGTAGTTTTCACTCATGTGATTATTTCAATAAAAGAGAGGAGGAGAAGCAGTCACATCCCTCATGATTGTGAATGAAAAATTCAACAAAATCATAGACCAATGTTAGTTATTAACTGTTTTGCTCAATGTACTACCCACTTATATACACAGCCTGAGTATTTCAGAAGCTTTCTTACCTGAAAGTCCAGACACATCAGATTTAGGCAGATGTCGCGCTTTTAGGACAACCACAGTGAGAGTATCCGTGGTGGACTGATAGCAGAGAGAGATCAGTAACTCACCCCGCCCTGAAGACTTCTAAACAAAAAGAAATGTGGTATAAGTATTTTTTTCCAGTTTTAAGTTTGTACTTTTATCAAAGTTTTAATAGCATTACTACTTTAGTGTAATGGTTCTACTTTTTTTTTTTTTAAATATGCTAAGGAATCACCATAACTAAAAGCTTTTGCATAGTACCGCCGTCACCTAAAAACAACTGCCTGCCATCTCGTGGTCATGTTAGGTACTACAGAATGTTAAAATTTGCAATCCTTTGGCCACACCCAGGATTTAGAAATGTGTATAAGGATATTTAAATTATATTCTATGTGGGAGTATGTTTGACTTTTGCTTTTTAATGGTATCTCTACTTTACAGAGTTACTAACAGTAATAAAATGCCTAACTATTTGAATGAGTTTTGTGCAGGGTCAGAGGAATCATGCTAAGTTTGATATGATTTCAAATTATTTAGCACTGACATTATTGAAATTTTAATTCAGATCAAATGATATTGATTCTGACCTCCATCCTAGAGGGCTCCGTCCTAGAGGGCTGATGGAGTTAAAATTCTGCCTCCCTCACACAAACAAGTCTCCGTTTAAACCAAGGAATACATTGAATTTAAGGACTGGAGATAACTGATTCCGAATTTTTAGTACATTGTTTTTTGACAAGGTCCTCTTTCTGCATGCTATTTAGATTTGATTTGTACTTTGAAGGCAATAAGTAAAATGACTAAGAATTTAAAGTAGAGGTTTTGATTGAAAGGAGCAAAATGTTAACCAAGCTTGGCACTTGATTGTAACTGCCAGGGCAGAACTCCTAAAACTGCAGCCTATTTATACAAAGCAAAAAGAGGTAGCTATATGCATAAGCACACTGAGGAGAATAGGAGTAGGAGACAGATCCTTACTCCCACTGTGCCATGAAACATGTTGGGTGTCTCAAACAAGATATGAAGTCTTTCTGAACTTCCACCTTCATTAATTTCAACAGAAGGAAAGGAGATAGTCAAAATAAGCTTTCAAGTTATTTTCAGCTCCAAAACACAAATTAGTATGTTTAGTGCACATTTTAAAGCATACTATTATAGAAGTTATGCTGAAATACCATTTTTGGAATCAATCGAGTCTCATATGTGTCAATAAAGGTAAATTTACTTAATTGATGTCATATTATTTTCTAAAAACCCTGGAACTACCTGAGTAGTGCAACTATGAAGGCAGAGTAATTCAATTCCTGTTATAAAACTTAGAGATGGTCTTTATCATTGGATATTATGTGATGCCTCCAGCTTGAAAAACAATTCCATACAAAATCAATACAGTTTCCAAGTCCTGAGGAAGAATTGATTTAATTTTAAATTTCAATTTTAAATTCAATTATACTGATTTTGAAACCTCTTTGTTAACTTGCTTATGAATAAAACGTATTCACCTGTATTTTAAAGTAGCAGTCTTTATCAAAATACTTATGATAGAATTAACAAAAGCATTTATATAAGTAATATTTAAATATCCATTGATAAAGAATGGCTATTTACTTTATATCATCAAAATGTTTTAAGTATTTCAGCTATGGGTTCAACTTTATTTTATCTGTACTATTCCCTTGCTCTCCATTTGATTATAATTAATAATAATTGAGCATGGTAAGAATGGTATGTACAAGGTTATTTTAATGAAATCGCCTAGACACACAAAAAGCTGCATAAAAGATTGTTTGTAAATACTTTAAGCACTCAAAATGAATTACCCTAACATTTCTCTTGATGATCTCTCTGTTCATTAACATTTTTCCGTCAGATAATTCAATTCCCGAGAGAGGAATAAGGACTTCTCCAATGATATCATCTCTTGAAAACCTGTCAAAACTCAAGATTGTGAAGTGCAAGGCCAATTCTTGGATCTGGGTGTAGGGGATTCCATAGAATGTGAAGGTCTCATCAAACGCTGGATCCAAGGTCTTTCTCAGGACTCTGGTTTTCACTTTATGCTTCTTCTCTGGGAGAATCGTCATTTTGATGTATGGATCAGAGGTCATCGACTGCTCATCCATGGCTGGCAAGCCACGGGCTTCCTTGATATTGACCACAAAAGCTTTTTTCTCGAAGTTGTATTCTAAGGAGAAGAAGAGGGTTCCCAGCTTCTCTTGTTTCTCTTCTGAAGTGAGGGAAGTGCTGGACTTTAAACTATCAGGGGAAACTGCCTCTTTTTCTCCTTCTAAAAACAGCTTTGGGGTCACATTTTCCAGATCAGAAGGGCTGCCAGCTTTGAGGTTGGTTTTGGGGAAATTGCCATTGAGGTCTCTCTTCTCAAGATCCAGATGCAATGAATTCTTTGGCACAGCTTGTTTATTCTTTACTTCATTTTTGTCATCGACTCCAAACTTCTTTTTGCTGCTTAGGTTTTCAGGGTAGATATCAACTCCCTTCAGCACATGCACAAACTTGTACGGAGGAGTCTTGTTAGACTTTGATGATTTTCTCTGACAGCAGATCCATGCGAAGAGAGAGACTGTGAAGACCAGGCCAAATGCACTGAAGATCCCTACCACCATGGGGATTTCATCTGAAAAACCAAATGACCAATAACATACATTAAAAGAGCAGAGTTGGAGATAGGAGCCTCTTTAAAAAGCAGAACAGAGCTTGCCATTGCTATCGGTTGGATAGATTGAATTGCTTTCCCTCTCTTCTCAGTGTGAGTTATGCACCTATTGTACACTAACTTCAGGTATAAACACATCTCCACAGGGCAAACATTACAGCATGATAGACAATCCTTCATTTCAGGTGTATGTATAAAAGAAATGGAAAGATGAAACCAGGACTAGGTTAGATGGGGTGGTGGATGCTTAATAATCCTGATCTATCTTTGTTTTCTCAAATAACATGAGTTGACTGCAACCTGATGGGTCAGTACTAATTTCATTAGATTGAATTGACATTTTGAGGCTTTCCAGAAGCATCAATTCTTACTATGAACCACTAGATGTGATTTTCAAATACTGAGAGATTCTCTGTTCTTAGTAGTACTCTATTTACTCAGGATCCTAAGCAGCAAGCATCTAGGGACTGAGTGGTTTATGCAATTTTAAGAATTCATAGAATGTTATTTGCCATTGTCACAAACTCATTAATAATTTTTGTCCTAATTATGGAACAATAGCAAAAGAAATGCACATATACTAGAAAAAAAAAGAGCAAGAGAGTACTAATATTACATAACTTATAACACTACTGTCCCCTTGTATGCCAACCCAAACATACGCTGAATTATTCAAAGTACAAATCAATTACACTGAAATAAGATAAAAGCAGGACAATGGTTATAAGTGAATCATCATTCCTTAACGTGTAATGAGAACAGTGAGTATAGATCATCTGGAGTCCAATTTTATCTATAACTGATTGTTTTCCTAGCACATTTTCATATGGCAAATGGTAATCATTGAAATTGGCATGATTTCCTTGAACTAGGTCACATTAAATTATTGACATTAGGTAATATTGACTACGCATGAGACTTATCATATTTCATATGTAAGCATATTTCTTGAACAAATGATTAGTAACACTGTATAAGTCAAAACAATATTGCTGCATCTGAACACAATGTATCAATTGAGTCAATGTTTAATATAATCAAAATGACTAAAACTAATGTAATATGATGTACATTTAGTTCCATTTCAATACAATTTTGTTCTAATTAGTAAATAAAAAAGCTAAAAGTTCCAGACTGGGAAGGGTTAAGACTTTTCTAAATAGCCCCAAGAAAACCAATCTTTTGTTACTTCTGTTCCCTATTCTCCAAAATCTTCTGCCTAGCTACTTCATAATCACAAATCTGAACTCAAAAACGTAAGATTAAGAAAAGACAAATAAGATACATATCTAAGAAGATTTTTAAAAGCAAAAATAAATAATAGTGCAATTCTGTAGTATAGTAACATTAGCAAACAAAATCATGAAATATAAAGCAACCTTTGAATTCCCCCAATAGAAATAAACAACCAGTGAATATCAGAGTGAAGAGAGAGCTGAAGATACTCAGCTAAACTTTGTTTCGGTTTTTCAGTTTTTCCTTTTATTCAAGTCTTTGTGGATAAAACAACCCCCCCCCCCCAAACTCCTGGACACTCAAAAGCAAAGTCATGAACTGAGGCAATTCTTCAGCCTCGTAAGAAGAACAATACAAGAAGTAGAAAATCATTTGTCCTAAACAGACTGATGGCCCATTGTGGAACATATTTTCACTAGCATGGCCTCTGAAAATGCCTCAGCAAAGAAATTTCAGATTTCAAATCAAAAACCGGGAATAGGCATTCCAACAAAATAGCATTGATAACCCAAATGGAAGGTGTTGAATAAACTCATTTATAAATATATCACAAATTTTCTCTATTTAATACTTACATCAAACGGCAAAACATTCGATACTACGTGGAAAGACTCCCCTATTCCCTATGTGTTGTCTACTGATAAGGTCTTAAGCCCCTAAGGGAAAAGATCAGAAGTATCCCATTCATTTAATACCAGTAATCACACATAGGTAGCTAACTCTCCTATTCACAAGATTCTATAAATTTCATGATTTTAAGAAATACTTGTAAAGTAAGTACTATCCTGATCTCTTGCCTCTGGGACACAATGGGACCTAAAAATAGAACTTTTTATTCTAAGAAGTACATCTAGTTTTGTGTATTGAAAGAGAGAGGAGAGCTACAGTGCCAAAAATTTGGTGTAGAAAAAATAGATACTGAACTGGAAAATAGGAGCCCTCATTCAAGTTTCCACCAGCTCTTAGCTAATTGTGCAACTGGCAACACTTCTATCATCTCTCTGGGCTCCAGTTACCTCACCAGTGAAATGAAATGGGCTGGGCCAGTGCGTTTTGAAAACCTCTTTAACTCTACTACCATATAATTCTGAGTCTTTCACTAGCAACATCTTTCAAAGATACAGGAAAAACATAGCAGAGAAAAACATTCATATAGTGCACTCTGCAATAAAATATTACATCCCCAAACCCCCAACTACAAGTTTGTTTGTTAACTGAGATCAAAACCCTAAGTAACTCAGATATATTGGCATATCCTAATAAAATATAGATTAATATCCAAATAAGAATTACATACAAATAGATGAAACCCATAGACGAACAGCAGACCCCTTTTCCTTGACTCGGTGCATGCTGCGATTGACCGAGCTGCCCGAACGTTTGGGAACTTCCCGTAGGTAAAATCTCCCCTAACAGAAGACAATGTTGAAAAGAAAGATACCAAGAAAGGGAGAGAATCCGCAGAAATAAGTCATAATTGCCCTTTTGCGGTTCTCCTTTGCCTTTCAAATTAACTAGTATGTAGGTAATTTGTATTCAACATTCAGCTGGGCGGCGGGGAGATGGGGGGGTTTGGGGGGCACACAGCCCACCCCGGAGTATTCAAAGAACAGCCGCAGTCTTAAGTTAAGTAAGTTGCTTACCAAATTCTTCCCGGCTGGTGGTGATCGGAGCCATTTTTCGACTGCGTGCTCTGTCCGAGGTGCTGAACGGAAAGCTGTCTGGCTTGATTCACTTGCCTGGATGTGAAGCGCCGGCGTTGAGTGCTGAAAACAACAGCGCAGAGCCCCGGGGACCGGCACCGGGGATCCGGAGGAGGCGGTCAGGGAGGCCCACTCTCTTTCACACAGTGATTTGCCACCCCTGTTCCTGTTTTGGCTCTTCTGAGAAGCTCGTCCCCGAGACTCCAGACGCGGCTGAAGCCCGAATTGACGCAATCCTGACGCTACAGGGCTGAAATCAGCACCTGCCCCGCTCCCCTCCTCCCTTCAAGCCTCTCCTCCCCCCTCTTCTCGCTTCCTTCCTCCTCTCTTGAGGATTCAACACACACTCATCAATTATTTTAACTGTTGGGCTACTAGAGATTAGCTTTGCTGTTCTGTGGGGGCTCAGACACGCAGAGATGAGCCACGAAACGGATCCCTGTCGATTCCTAAGAGAAAATCTGACCACCTAGATGAATAAAAATACATCTCTGAGTTATCAAAATAATGTGATTTGCAGAGAAGAAATGTATTCATCAAGTGATCATTTGTGTATATATACATGGTACAGCAAGAATGTGTTTTCTTGATTTCTAAACATATACTTATTACTGTTAGAAAAAAATCCACTGCAAACTGATACATTTAAAATAAGTTCTTTTTTCCCCCTCTATAATCCCTAAGGTTCTAGTGAATGAGCCATCTAAAATCTTGCAGATACTGTCGCTCCTTTCTTGTCTGTCATCTCTCTTCCCTGTAATATCTGACATTTGACCAGTTAAAGCACTTAGGAACAGATGGGAATAATCCCTTCTGTATTCAGACTCACTCCTCAGTTATGATTTTTGCTTATAATGAGACTGCTTCTGGAATGACATTTATGGTTAAAAGCCTTGACTTTGAATAGATTTGTGCAAAACATTTGTGATAAGTAGATCAAAATCTAAAATAACATGGATTATTATTATTGATTATGTTCAAAGAAAATCATATTTTTCTGAACTTATAATATTCTTGAGGGCAACAAACTGGGAGAAATATGGTGTCAGATTCTGATTCATTTGAATTTGAGGAGTATCTCTTTTGAACAAACGTTTAGCAATTTTCCAAAGGAAAGAGCTCAGGCTGTAACTCCAACTGTCGATTATTACTACGCAAAGAATTCCTTTGCTCTGGAGCTCAACTAAGAAACTGCATCCAATGTGTGCTGGGATGGGGGAGGAGAGACACGAAGTGAGTCAGAAAGCTACTGTACAAGTGACAGGTTCCTGCACATTGGCCAGCAGCTGCCCTGAGCAGCAGGGCTGTGTCTGGGGAGAAATTGGCTTCAGTTCTTTGCATCATGGAAAATTTCATAAACCAGACTCTTCTTTCCTTTGCTATTTGCTCCCACGTACTTGGCATTTTAGCGTTCTTCTAACAGATTTTTTTTTAACTTTATGTCTTCATGCTATGAAAACATACAAACTAATTTAATTAGTACATGATTTTTTTTTCCACTGTCAGGGTCTATGATTGTGCCCTTACACTTTCACTTTATTCAGATTGTTTTCTCAATGATGCATACATCTTATGTGGTTGTCCCTAGAAATAAACATCCATTAAATTAAAGAGAAAGTGGCATTTAATTTTGGTGCATATCATAGGTAGACCAAATATATGGTAGTGTTTACTAGAGTGTATGTTTTCCAGTTATGTTATTTCTAGCATATGGATAAGTACATTTGCTGTAAACGTAAGTACCTTGTATATACGTCCTATATAAATGTGTTCTATTAATTTTATCTTCAAATGGCAAAATGCTGTCATCTATAACCTGCCTAAATTGTTTAAACTCTATTTCTACAGAAGCTTGCTTCATCTTAGGCTGTCTCATTTCTGAGGACACATTTTGATAAGATTACCTCTTGCCCAGAGCTAATGCTATTGTGAATGTAGTAACTATTTCACTGCTTGCTTTATAAGCTAACTGAAAAGAAATGCTACTAATTAAATTGTCTGAAGTTTCTCTCATTTTAATTTTTTAGTTATAATCCAATCTCTTAGCATCACCAGACAAGGAGTGGGCAACAGACCCCACATAGAGAAAAGCCTATAAGTTTCTAAGGATTGAGCCCTACCGCATCATTGCCCTACCACATTATTGCATTGTTCTTTTGAGATCTATCAAACAAATAACCAATTTACTGACGTGCACAGTTCTGCTCTTGCCAGGGAGACTTGGGAGGAGGAGTAGTTGCTAGGTAACAACCTCTTTGCCACTCAAAACACACAGCCTCAAACAAGTTCCTGCTTTGGCAAACACAGACGGTTCTGAACAGGCAGCAGTGCTTACTTCAAAATGATTTTTTCACTATTAAAATGGCTCAACTTTTACCTTACTTTTTTCTTGGATTGCAAGTGTCTATAGATAATTTCAGAAAAAATTAACAGAACACTTGAATTTAGTTTTAAGAAATCCAATTGCATTTAAAGGCTATTGAGAACTCTTCGTATGATTGCTTTTATTCTTATTCATTTAGCTTATTTGATTTAATGTAGTATGTAGTTTGATGTATAAAATTTACTTATATAATTACTAACTTTATAGTTTAGTCTATATTTTATTTATTCCTTTCTTTAAAAAAATATTATTGGTGGATGTATTTAGAAACTTCTGGTAAGCAAAAGAAAATTTCAAAAGGTTTTTAAAATGTTGGGATGATCTTCAGTAGTCTTTAGTAATGCCCAGGTTAGTGATCTAAAAACACTTTAGTGGTATGTGGGTGGAGTACACTAAAGTATCTGATAATGGAAAATGGATAATTAATATCTCATATCATTCTCTTAAGGTGCTGGCTCTAATACTCATGGAATAGGTTTATATTACAAGCACAAACATATCGAAATCCTGCAAGAAAAATGCTTTCCAAGTTGGTATTGCAGAGACTTTACTAGGTGCCATTCCTACATTTGTTTTTCTTCAAAATATTCAGTATTCACTATGCATTTAATGGCTTGTGAATCACAGTGAGCTCTAACAAAATAAAATCACAGCCTATAACCTTCCTTCTTTTCAATACATACGTATTAAACGTGTATTCCTTCTAGGTTTTGCTAAGGGAAGGATTTATGTTGGTCAAGATGAAAAAAAAATGATATTTGCTCTCAGGGAACCAACAGACTACAGGAGAAATTGATAGCCTTTCCTCTAGACCTGCACCAAAAAACTTATTAGATCATAATTATATATATATATATTTATTTTGCCTGGTACCTTCTAAAAGCCCAGTACTACCACAGATATTTTGCCCATCCCATGCAGTCCATTCTCCTTGACACTTTCTTCCTGACTATGGATTTGGTATAATTCTTACACATTTGCATTCTTCTGATTCTCTATATTTATCGACAACTTTTTTTTTTCCAGTAGAATTTATTGAAAGGACAGAAAAGCTCCCAGAGTAGGAGGGGACCCAAGGGGTTTGCCCAACTTCTTTCTTTTTTAAGTATCATCTGAAGTTTTGTTTATACTATGAAGTTTCTGATTTACCCGAACTCGTGAATTTCTTCTGATTTAAATTCTTGGAACACTATCTCTAGTGAAATATTTTAAGCCAGCTTAACGCAACCTTAATCTATATACCAACAATTCCCAAAAAGATAAACGGAAGGACATCATTAATGGTAACCCCTAACATTCCACACAATTCTCATTTATTTTTTATCTTCTCTGCACCAATTTTTTTCATGACTCCTGCTTCATTTTGTTTTGCATTTCAGGCCTGCCTTTAAGTTGTGGCCCTTGAATCATCTTTTCCAATTCTTAAATCTTGGTATCGTAACAAGAATTTGACCTCTAGCCATTCTAGAAGTTTTTACTCTTTTAGTTTATCTTGAAGCTGTTTTTTGATGACTCTTCCACCTTTTTCAATGTGTTACTAAGTAAGGCCTCACTTAGCCTTCCATAAACACCAAAAAAACTGGAATTTGGAAGTGTGGACACAGTAAAAGTATACTAAATTTTCTATCTTAAATAATGAACATTTAACAGATGTTATGTAATTTGATAATATTTATTTTCATAATATAAACTGGTAAAATTGAGAAAAACTAATATACAGTAAAGCACTAGATAATATCCATTCTAACATAAAATAGACAGACATAACAAAAAAAGCAAGAATTATCTTAAAATGATCATAAATATAATAGAAAAAATGAAATAGATAAAGAAAGTAAAGTTAATCATCAATGTAAGTATAAAAGATTTACAAATTTCCAGGTAAAAATTTTCATATAGGGTTAAAAAATAGAGTTTAACTATATGCTGTTCACAGTAAAAATACTAACATGAAAATCTTTAAAATATTTAAATAAAAGACTGCCCAATAATTTATTAAAAATATAAAAATAAAATTAAGTTTATTTAAAAGTCAAGAATAAAACACTAAAAGAAAGAAAATATGCAATTTTATATTTGGGAAGTATAAACTGACAATAAAAAAGCAACAGTTTTTAAGGTGTATGCTCTAAATAGCTTACCATCAAATGCATAAAGCAAAGCTGTAATAAAAACTAAATAAAAATAAACAGAAGCATAATCGCTGAATAGAGATGTCATTACTTCTTTCAACCATTTACAGATCATCTTAATTCAGTTTTGGACCACATATCTCGGGTGGGAAAGTTTTACTGAAAGTTAGTTTTGTTTTGGTTTTTTTTTTGTAATTTTAACTACAAAAATCAAATAATTTGCAAAGCTGGGATATTTTTTCAAATATTTTAAGATAGGATTACTTAGAATTTTTTTTAAAGTGAGAAAATATTGAAATATAAAATCTTCTATTAAAAGGTATAGATTTAAACATTAAGAAACCATAATTTTCAAAGATTATGTATTAGAAGACCATTAAAAAGTTAAAAAGTATATATAGTGAAAAAATAAAGTATAAAAAAGTAAAAACTATATGTGTATAAAAAACAAACCAACAGTCTTCTAGCTAATACACATACATCACAAATAAGTTCTTAAACAGAGCCAGAAGGGTCATGTATAATAATATACATGGCAGCACTGGTTGTGGTAGTGGTGGTTGAAGGCAAAATATGTCCATTGCAATATGAATGAATACATTCTGCTATCCTTTGTCACTTAAAAGCAATAAGGAAAACTTGAGGTTAGGAGGTGAAGATCAGTCTAGGCAACATAAACTGTATCGCTACCAAAAACAACAAAATATCAAACTACACGTGCACGCACGCACACACATACACAGACACACACACATATATTTCACCATACTTATATTTTATAAAATATTATATTGAAGAAACAGAACTAGAATTATATAAAATATCACTTATTTGCAA